CTAATAAAATCAAACTATAAGTAGCCGTGTATACTTCATATCAGATATGAGCAGATTTGACTCTGATCACAAAAAAATGTGATTATTGTAAAATCAACATTTATAGATAGAGATGAAATTAAAACTTTAAAACTAAAACATTTCAACAATTAAATTAAATTTAATAACTAAAACCGAAATTATTTATAGTAACTAAAATTATTTCAGCAGTTGAAAAAAAAATATAATTTTAACTGTTGAAAATTATTTCTACAAATAAAATTATTTTAGCCAAATAAATTTTTATTAGGTTAAATTAAGTTATATCGATATAATTTATAAATTAATTCTCAATTTGAATAGGCAGAAATTTCTAATTTATATGATTATTTAGATTAAATAATGAAATTAGTATTGTCAACTTAATTAATTTCAATAAACAAAATATTTTCAGTGCAAAAATATTTTATTTATGATAATTGATAAACAGTTTTACTAAATCACACTACTAGTGTTTAACACCAGTGTCAGAAAGTAAATCAGAAATTATATAATTATATATAATAAATTAAATAATCACTTATTAAATTATACCACTAGTGTTAAACACTAGTAGTGTTAATAAAATTTTATTTATTTTACTTTTTTTTTTTTTTTTTTTGCTTATTTGTGATTAAATTTTTTTTACAGTTTTCTTTCTTTGCAGTTGATCATTGCAATTAATCGTTTGCAGTTGATTATTTGCAGTTGATCGTTTGCTATACGTTGATATGTTTGAACTTAGTAACACAGTAAATATTTACGAATCTGATAATATGGAGAATTTTTTTGATATTGAATCTAGTAATGCGAATAATTACTCTAGTACATTCGACCTTGGTACTCTGAAGAATTTTTTTAATATCGAATTTAGTAATATGGATAATTTTTCTAACACACCTGATCTTAGTTCTCTGGTTAATTGTTCTAACGTACTTGACTATGATAATCTGGAGACTTTTTTTGATGACAAATCTGGTAACACAGATAAATATACATTTGACTCTGATGATTCAGGAAATTTTTTTAATTCATTTGATCCTGATAATCTGGAGGCTTACCTTAATGCATTTGGGCCTAGTAATATAGAAGCTTTCTTAAATACATTTGATCCAAATAGCCCGGTAACTTTTGTTGAACGAACTGATAATGAAAAGGATAATGATGTGATAGAATATAGAGAAAACCTTCTAAATTCATCTCTAAAACTATGATATCCTATTGAATTAAATATGAGCTTTAGAGACTGGGACGAGTTTGATAAATGGGTTAATAATCATGGAACAGAATGTGGGTTTGCTTTTACGATTACCCATAGTAAAAAAGACAAGGAGAATAGGATCCTCTGGTGCTGTACTTATAAATATATGAAGGGTCGATCATATATATCTAAAAAAGAAGCACATATCATTAATGATCGTGATAGTAGCTATTATACTACTGGTTATACATTCTATGTTAATATGTATCGACACAAGAAAAACAATTTGTTCTATGTATCAAAAATTGATGGTCAGTATAATCATGCGCTTGTTAATAATATAAATATAGTTGCACTACATTATTAGAAGCTCACTTCAGAGATGAGTGATAAAGTAAAATTTCTTACAAGTTGTAGAGTGCGTGCTGGTGCAATAATCGAGATTTTATAAAAAAAATTCCCAGATAAATATTTTTATGAATGTAATGTATATAATTTGATTCAGTCAATTTAGTGTAAAAAAGAAGAAATAAGTGATGCTAGTTCATTATACCTTAAACTTATTAAAAAACAGCAAGCTGATCCTACTTTTCATATTGATACTCAATTTGAAGGTAAGGACAATCATCTTACAAGGCTTTGTTGAATGAGCCTAGGCTAGTAGCAGTTGTGGGTCTGCTTTTATGATATTGTCTTTTTAGATTCTACAGCAAAAACCAATTGCTACTCAATAATATTATGTATCATAATACTAGTAGATAATCATAACTATTCTCGTCTTATAGCAGCTACTATAGTATCTGACAAAACAAAAGAAACTTATAAATAGTTATTCAAAAGTATTCTCAAAGTAACTAATAATTTGGCTTCACATTTGCTCTATACAGATGCTGACCCTGCAATAATTGCAGTAGCTAGCAATTCCTTACCAATAACAAAACACCATTTTTGTTTATTTCATATTCAGAAAAATTTAGAAAAGTATTTTCTTAGTAAATATTGTGAAAAGTGAAAGTATTTTTTTCAGATTTTAGCTATATGCGAAATAGTTATATGGAGTCACTTTTTGAGAAAAGATGAGCTACATTTTTACAAAAATATCCTGATGCTGCAAATTATTAGCAGCACCAGCTTTATCATTGCAAGGAAGCTTGAGTTCTATGCTTTACATATTATACATTTAATGCAGATATACAAAGCACACAACATGTTGAGTCTTATAATGCCAAAATTAAGAATTGTGTTAATAGACTATTATCTGTTTTAGAGCTTGAACAAAGTGTTAAAAAATTATTAGAGAAAGAAAGTCATTTTGTATACCTTAATGAAACTATAAGTTAACTTCTAGTAAATTGAGAAGAACAGTACTGTAATAAATATTTTAGTATAGTTGATATGTCATACTAGTATTTTTTAATGCCAGCAATTTTAAAGCTTCAACGAAATAAAATAAATCATAGTATATATTACTGGTATCATATAGTTAATCTTGAAAATGAGCTTGAACAACAGGTAAGAAATTATAATCATATAATTACATAGTTGGGATAGAATAAGTAATATAACACTTTATATTTGTAATTTCTATAGGTTGTTAATGAGTTACAAATAGGAATGTTTTCTGAGGATATGTTTAAAATGAGTATTATTGAATTAAACTAACTAATTGAGGGCCTTAATCGAACAAAAATTTATGAATTTTGGCGAATTTCTTTGATTGATCAAAAAGTATATATTTTATTATGATTTATAATAATAATATATACTTTTGTACTTGTTTAACGTTAATAAATTATAGTTTTGTATGTTAGCATTTTTTTTAGTAATACTTTTTTCAAAAGCTGTGAAATTTTATATTGAGCTTATACCACAATAATAGTACTTAGATACATTAGTAGAAGATGTCTTAGTATTACTTGAACTAGCAATTGTAGCAGGCTTAAATAGCCAATTAGATGTATATGAACATAATTTGCATGTTGATTTTTCATATTTAGAATATATTTATAGAAAGCATATTTTTAGCAAATTAGTTCGTAATAACATAATGCATAGATTACAATAGAGAAAAGAATTTAGTATAATAAAAAAAATATTTAACTTGGCAATTATAATGAATAGAACTGAAGAGATCTATAAGATTCATAAAAATTTCACTAAAGAAATAGAACTTGAACTTATAAAGAAGAATAATAAAACTGAATATAATGATCTGGAGGAATTTGCCTGTACTATAAGTAATCCTATAAGTGTTAGAACAAAAGGCAGAAAGTCAAAAAGAATTAAAGATTTCAACGATAATACAAATATATCAAAGGGTAAAAATAAAAAAAAGCAAATTTCTCAAGTTGAATATAATAAATCAAATAATGATAATGATATTAATTATAAAGGTATGTATGATTAGAATTGTTA